TGAGGAGGCAAAAATTCGTATTTTTTGTGAATAGGCAAAAATTAGTAGGTTTTTTTATTTAAGTATAGGCGAAAGTTAGTACTTCTGTAAGTAGACAAAGGTTAATATTTCTGTGAGTAGGAAAAAATTAGTACCACTGTAAGTATTACTACTGCGCGGCCGGCACTTACGTGCAGCTTGTGGATCGTGTCCTCGAAGAAGGCCTCGGGGGTGTTCCTGAGGATGGCGGGCAGCGCGCCCTGCACCAGCGTGTTGCTGCCGATGATGCGCTGGCTGAGCTTCTGCAGTCCCGCCCGGACCTGTGGGGGGCAGAGAGAGAAGAGAGGGGCCGTGAGAGGGGCGGTCGGGGGAGAGAGACGGAAAATAAGAATTAGTAGCTGCCGAAGCCAATATTCTGAGCTAAGGCCATATTAGCAAACCCATTAGCTACTTTAGCTATCCCTTTTTTTTCCCTTTTCTGCTTTCGTTAGCGCGCCCTCCGCCCACTCCCCGCGACCCTCACCTCGCTGCCCAGCACGCCGTGCCGGTCGTGGATAACGATCCAGCCCATGCGCCAGCCGGGGACCAGGAAGCGCTTGGTGAGGCCGCTGCAGGACAGCACGGGGACGTCCTCGGAGAGCGACCCGAGGCTGTGGTAGCGCTGGCCGGGGAAGACCTGCAACAGGGCGACACGTCAGCTCGACGAGACTCGGGCACCTCCGTCACGGTGCGGCGGGCACCTCCCCGACGGGGCGGAAACCTCCCGACGGGGCGGGCACCTCCCCGACGGGCACCTCCCCGACGGACACCTCCCTGATGGGACGGGCACCTCCCCGGCGGGGCGAGCACCTCCCCGACGGGCACCTCCTCCCGACGGGGCGGGCACCTCCCCGACGGGCACCTCCCCGACGGACACCTCCCTGATGGGACGGGCACCTCCCCGGCGGGGCGAGCACCTCCCCGACGGGCACCTCCCTGACGGGCACCTCCCCGACGGGCACCTCCCCGACGGGGCGGGCGCCACCCTTACCAGGTGCTCGTAGATCTCGTCGCCGATGATCGGCACCCGGTGGCGCGAGGCGATGTCGAGGATGTCGGCGAGGTGCTGGCGCGAGAAGACGGAGCCGCACGGGTTACTGGGGTTGTTGATGACGATGGCCGCGGTGTCCGCGTCCACGGCCGCCTCCAGGTCGGCGAGGTCCACCTCCCACCCGCGGTCCGGCTGGAGAGAGAGAGAGAGAGAGAGAGGATAAAGGAAGGACGTCAATGAAGAGCACTCGAGCACCGTTACGAGCTGCGTCTGGTCGATAAGTGATGACCCACCAGCAGGCGGTAGGCTTTGGTGCGTATGCCGAGGCCCTCGGCCAGGGTGCGGTAGATGGAGAAGCCCGGCCGCGGGACGAGGATGTTCTGGCCCGGGTTCGCCAGCACTGTGATGCAGAGGTCGAGCGAGCACGAACAGCCGCTGCATAAAACAATGTCCTGCAGAGAGCCGAAATGGCAAAATAAATATTCTGAAATGTGTTTAAACCCACTGAGGGTTGTTGCACTACTTCAACGCCACTGGGTGAATACGCCGAATATTTTACTTCTGATTTGAATAGTTTGACTTATGCTTTTCATGTTTGTCGATTTTTGACTCTTTCCTGGCCTTGCCTGACTTTCCACCAGTACCACTCACCTCGGCTGAGACTCGCACCCCGTCCACCGAGCTGTACTGCGCCACCGCCTCCCGGGCCTCGGCGTAACCTGCGCACACGGGGAGGCTCCTGCTTCAGCAACGCCAAGGTGGCTGATCCCAGCTCGGCTCCGCAGCCAAGGTCGGCGTTTGTTAGCTACATGCACTTAGGAACTGACGATCGCGCTACGCTCGTGCGGGCGCGGGAGAGGGGTGGGTTCCGCCACGGCGTGAGCGTAAGTTCTGAGTTTATTATAGGTATTTTGGGGGGGCTTTCTGGTAGGGG